CCTCCAAAGGTTTTAGTATGCCTGACAGCACTTCATTTAAAAAAAAAAAAAGGGGGGGGCTTCCCTGGTGGCGCAGTGGTTGAGAATCTGCCTGCCAATGCAGGGGACACGGGTTCGAGCCCTGGTCTGGGAAGATCCCACATGCCGCGGAGCAACTGGGCCCGTGAGCCACAACTACTGAGCCTGCGCGTCTGGAGCCTGTGCTCCGCAACAAGAGAGGCCACAATAGTGAGAGGCCCGCGCACTGCGATGAAGAGTGGACCCCCTTGCCGCAACTAGAGAAAGCCCTCGCACAGAAACGAAGACCCAACACAGCTAAAAATAAATAAATAAATGTATTTTTTTAAAAAAAAAGTACTTTGGAAGACTAATTAAAGACTAAGAAATGAAACTCTGGGAGCCAGATGAAAAAGAAAAATTGGTGAAAGTGCTCTAATTTGAGTCCCCATCCCTTAAAGCAGGAAGTGTTCAGCTTCCTGACAGAGGACGGTTTTTGACTCTCTGCTGCCCTCAGGCACCTGTATACTCTGTCATGTTTCTACTGTATCAAAGGACCTACTACTGTTTTATTCAGAACATCAATACAGTATAGCCTAGCAACAAACATGGACTTTCTTTGTGTCCTTGAAAGAACCACGTGGCAAGAACTAAGGAACTTCATGCTGCCCTTAGGTTTGGCCACCCCTGCAACAAGAATATCATGAACACTCGTTATACTGAATTTGGGAGATGCCCGGCAGTCTTTTCTGAGTTCATAGTGCTTAATCTCATTAGCTATCAGATACCATGTCTAATCTGACGTTCAGACTCATGTCTGCGTGTAATTGGGTTCAGTGTGTGTAGTTAACAATAAAGCGGGTACTGGCCCCACAGAGAAGTTAGATGTCTTTGAAGAATCCATTAACTAACTCGAAGATGGAGGAAAGGGAACAAAATTTCACACATTTCTAATTAAGGGCAGGAAAACAAACCAGATCGAAACCCAACCAAATTTCTGGACATAATGGTGTCACAGTTCAGCAACCGCTCTAATGTTCTAGGGATTCCTACATAATAAGCATTAGGTTCATCTGTTCATTCATTTTGATAACATTTCTCTGCTGACCACCTACGGTGTCCTAGTTGTCCTAGGTGCTTGTTGGGACAACAGAGGCTGGTAATAAACTAGTCCTTGTCTTCATGGAGCCTAGTATCCAGATGACTCTGACTAAAGATTATAGACCAACCTATTTCATTTGAAAATATAATTGACATACTATTTATTTCCTGCAATCCTAAATTATCAGCAGGATTTCTTTTTTTTTTTAACATGCATACTAAGGGTCTTTTTATTTTTATATTTTTTAACGTCTTTATTGGAGCATAATTGCTTTACAATGTTGTATTAGTTTCTGCTGTATAACAAAGTGAATCAGCTATATGTATACATATATCCCCGTATCCACTCCCTCTTGCGTCTCCCTCCCACCCTCCCTATCCCACCCCTCTAGGTGGTCACAAAGCACCGAACTGATCTCCCTGTGCTATGCGGCTGCTTCCCACTAGCTATCTATTTTACATTTGGTAGTGTATACATGTCAATGCTACTCTCTCACTTCGTCCCAGCTTACCCTTCCCCCTCCCTGTGTCCTCAAGTCCATTCTCTACATCTGCGTCTTTACTCCTGTGCTGCCCCTAGGTTCATCAGTACCTTTTCTCTTTTTTCTTAGATTACATATATCTATATATAGATTCCATAAATACGGTATTTATTTTTCTCTTTCTGACTTACTTCAGTCTGTATGACAGTCTCTAGGTCCATCCACCTCACTACAAATAACTCAGTTTCGTTTCTTTTATTGTATATATGTGCCACATCTTTTTTCTTTCTTTTTTTTTTTGTTGCGGTATGCGGGCCTCTCACTGCTGTGGCCTCTCCCGTTGCGGAGCACAGGCTCCGGACGTGCAGGCTCAGCGGCCATGGCTCACGGACCTAGCCACTCCGTGGCATGTGGGGTCTTCCCGGACCGGGGCACGAACCCGTGTCCCCTGCATCAGCAGGCGGACTCTCAACCTCTGCGCCACTAGGGAAGCCCTGTGCCACATCTTTTTGATCCATTCATCTGTCGATGGACACTTAGGTTGCTTCCATGTCCTGCCTATTGTAAATAGAGCTGCAGTGAACATTGTGGTACACGTCTCTTTTTGAATTATGGTTTTCTCAGGGTATATGCCCAGTAGTGGGATTGCTGGGTTGTATGGTAGTTCTATTTTTAGTTTTTTAAGGAATCTGTTCTCCATAGTGGCTGTATCAGTTTACATTCCCACCAACAGTGCAAAAGGGTTCCCTTTCTCCACACCTTCTCTAGCATTTATTGTTTGTAGATTTTTTGATGATGGCCATTCTGACCGGTGTGAGGTGATACCTCACTGTACTTTTGATTTGCATTTCTCTAATGATTAGTGATGTTGAGCATCCTTTCATGTGTTTGTTGGCCATCTGTGTATCTTCTTTGGAGAAATGTCTATTTAAGTCTTCTTCAGCAGGATTTCTTTAATCATTCATTCCAGAACTTTAATTCTACTCCTACTTCATTCAGTCCTGATCCTTATATTACACCCATATCCTTGTACATTATGTCACGTTCAGTCCAGTCCCATACATGACCATGACTTTCCCAAGCCTGTTGAAAGATGGAGGAAAGGGGGGACTTGCAATCGCTGGACACCTTATTCTGTGCCAGCCCTTGTGCTACGTAAAAACTGAAGCAACTCATTTAATCCTCCCGATAATTATCAGAAGTAGGTGTTATTATATTTCTTCATATAGGCAAGGAGATTCAGGCTCCAAGAGAAGGAAATGAGAGAAAAAAATGGGTGAGAAGCAGAGCTTAGCTTCAAAGCTGGAGTAACTGACCCCAGAGGGCTGTGCTCATCAAGGTCCCTGATCAAGCAGCCCACATGGAAGAGGCTGTGGGTCAAATGATATGGTCTCGGTCCTATAACATCCCGCACATTTAGTTATTTACTGGCTGTGTGGTCTCAGGGGCAGGACCTAATGGCTTGGAGCCAAAGCCTCAATTTCATCCTCTGCACAAAGGGGAGAGATGCCTACCTGACAGAATTTCTATGAGGATTTTGACATGCCTGGCACACACTAGTTCCTTTAAAAAAGTGCTAGTGGGTTTCCCTGGCGGCGCAGTGGTTGAGGGTCCGCCTGCAGATGCAGGGGACACGGGTTCGTGCCCCGGTCCGGGAAGATCCCACATGCCGCGGAGCGGCTGGGCCCGTGAGCCATGGCCACTGAGCCTGCGCAACCGGAGCCTGTGATCCGCAACGGGAGAGGCCACAGCAGTGAGAGGCCCGCGTACCGCAAAAACAAGAAACGAACAGAAAAAAGAAACCAGGAGAGATGGGGCAGGCAGGATGATCCCCACAGTCCTCTACGTTTCCCATAAACAGATACAGGTTTATAGGTATTCTGTGACCCTTAAGAAAAAGTAGGTGTTATCCTACTGCAATCCATTGACCTAAGCATTGTGCTAATCAAGGAAGTGATCTGAGAGGAAGTAAAGGACCCAAATCCAATTTAAAAGATATATTAGTTCTACAACCATTCTGTGTAATTATTATTTATTTAGACATCCCACAGGTGCCATGACTGGGTAATTCTATGTTCTGTTGAGGGTTCAGGAAATGAGTGGGGTTTAATGCAGTTTAAACAAGCCGTAACAATCTCCCATTCAGAATGCCGACCACCATCTGGCCTTTCGCTAGGCATCTTAAACGATTTCTCAGGCATAACCACACAACACACTCCCAGGAGGAAGGCGGAGGGAGTGCTCCGTGCATAAGGCAGCTGGAGCCCACAGAGAACTGGTAACTTGTCTAAAGATCACACAGTTGTTTGAAGGGAATGACAGCAGTAGAATCCACAACTCCCAACCTCAGGTTCAGGCTCAGCCCATTGAGCATGGAAGATGCTCAGATGGTCCCAAGCCACAGCACCCTAGCACTCTGGGAACTAGCACCTGAGGCAGCCCTGCAGGGAGGATGGGGCTCAACACGTGGAACTGACAGACCATGACTGAAGATCAAGAAAGGAAGGAATGAACTAATCCATACCCATGAATGTTGTTGTAGGATTACTTTTTTTTTTTTTTTTTTGCGTTATGCGGGCCTCTCACTGCTGTGGCCTCTCCTGTTGCAGAGTACAGGCTCCGGACGCGCGGCTCAGCGGCCATGGCTCACGGGCCCAGCCGCTCCACGGCATGTGGGATCTTCCCAGACCGGGGCCGAACCCGTGTCCCCGGCATCAGCAGGCGGACTCTCAACCACTGCGCCACCAGGGAAGCCCTGTTGTAGGATTACTGACTGTCCTTGCTGCCTACCTCGTAAAATTCTCAGACATCTAGGAAATCTCCTTCGGACATTTTTGAAGGTGAGAAGAGGGTGGCCACCTCCCCTTTCCTCAGCATACATGCTGCATCTCCTACCCCCAGGGTAAGTATCAGTATTTCTTCTCCCCACCCTTTTATATTTATGCAACTACTCTACAATCACCTAAGTTTCAGTTATTCTATCAAGCAAATTTGCAATGGATCCCAAATATGGAAGTACTTACTGGTAGTAGTGGTACCACTAATCATACTACCAAGACTGGCAGTTACCAGTCGAGTTATATACACTTGAAATCCTGTGAACCTGAGAGACTTAACTGCATGACGAACAAAAGTAACACTCCATGGAATAACCAACCATCACATCTATAATAAGTTCGAGTTGTTTTTTTTAGCATCATACCTTTGATAGGCATATTCCTACCCATTATTTTAAAACATACTTGTTCCTTTGGCCTCAATAAATGAGGTCTCAAGTTTACAGGTCACCTGCTAGATGCAATTTACTAAACAGGCTGCTTGCTTCCCCACTCTGTTCCCTCTCTGACCCTAGCCCCTCGCTGCTCACTCCTGACACCTAAGACCCAGCTCAGAGCATAGGTTACGAGAGGCCACGCCCACCTTTGTCCAAACATTAGCGTTGACTTGGTCTCAGCTTCATTGAACACCGAGGGAGAACAGCAAATAACGATGGTGGTTCTACAGTTCCCGCCCAGAGAGTCCTGAAGAATCCGAGTCATCTTGCTGTCCCGGTATGGCACGTGTGTTTTCTATTTAGGAAAAGAAAACATAGTGGCTGTTACAGCCCATTCAAAGAGAAAATACAGAGGCAAGCCAGTGAGTGATGGGAGCTGGGCTTAGAAACATGTGAAATAAAAACCTGTTGCCTGGTCTTTGGATTTTGCCAAAGTTTAGAATGCCCATTCTGGGACCACCCGGGTCATGTGAAATTAGCATCACCATTCACACATTTTAATGGGCTAGATTTCCCAGCAAGCAGGGCGTCCACAGCCAGGATTCCCCCTGTCCCTTTCTGAACAAAAACAAATGAATCTCTGGGGTGTGTGGCAAAGAGAGTACACGAACTCAAAAGGTGACTTCTCATAATATCATTGAATAGATGGGGACAGGATCACTTACTGTCCCTTCTGCCAAGGCAGAGATCACGTTTCCAAGAGCAGACAAAGACTTATTGATATTTTTAGCTTCGTCGAGAACAGCTCCCTCGGCACCAGTTTTGCTGACCTACCAGAGAGAAGAGAAAACAGTGAGCTGCACAGGACAGCAAAAGCACAGAGGAGAAAATTCCAATTCACAGGAGGGCAAGCGGGGAGGAAGGGACTGACGTGAATCCTCCTGGAATGCAGGGGAAAATAAAGGTAAGTAAGAATCATGGTGATAAAACCTTCCCTTGTACCTGAGGCTGGGCATTTGTTCTCTCTTATTGTCATTTTCCTCTCAACTAGGTTTTACGGGGAACAGCTGAGATGCCTCAAGTGTAGAGCTGCGGATGCTTCCCAGGGGACATTTGTCCAGGGACACCAGGCTCCAAAAGTGCTGTCACTACAGAAAGGCTGGGGTCCTGCGAGACTGAACCACAGTCTACATGCCCAGGAAGCATTAAGAGAAAACACGGTCCCAGCCACAATGAATGCACTATTGGGAAAGCGTAGATTACAAGCTCCAACTTCAAGCAAAGGACAAGAAGTGGTAGGGATGGTTATCCGGACTCTCTGCTCCTTCCCTACTTATTCCCATAGCAAGAAAAAAAAAGGAACAATCATCCAAAAGGAAAAATACTCGACAAGACATGTAAGGTAAGAAAATGTACATTACACAGTGAATTTGTCTTTTTTCCTCTGCAGTTAGAGGGACCATGCACCATTCCTCCTCGGCTGTGTTATTACTGGTAATTTCCTATTTACAGCATTTGCTCTAGGTAGAAAGCAGTTCACAGATGCTAGAAAAAAGGGAACTCAACATGATTCATAGCTCTGCTGACTGGACAAACGACACGGCGGAGAGCGGCTGCGCTCTGAAGAAAGAAAGAAAAGCAGGGAAATGATTTTAAACTGTGCGAAGATGGATTTCAATTCTGTATAAAGGATAAACTCCCAACGATAGAGATGAATGCATGTCCAAGCGGAGATTTTTTCCCGAAGAAAAATTCAAAGATTTCTCTGGAAATCATGTGTGGGTCCCCTGCTTACAGATGAAGAAATCACAGAGCTGCTGTGTCACAAGTATTAATAGTAATAGTCTATTCACAAGGTGTTGTTTAAGGTGCTTTCACACTTGAGCATCTTAGCTCCATGAAATATGCGAGACAAGTACAATCACCTTCCTTTCACAGACAAGAAAATTTTGAGCTCCAGGGATGTCAAATTGCCCACCCAAGGGAAGAACACCATTTAAGAAAGACAGGACTAAGACTCAGAGCTCTGTTCTACTAGAGCACACTGCTACATTCATGCGGACACATCTAGAGCCAGGAAAACAGATGTTAGCACAGGAAATGACGTGCAGGACCACAACTTTAAATTGCCTCATAAATATCATAAGTAATAACCACTGACACTGTGCAGGCCTCCACTCTCAACTGCCTGCATTAAGCACTTTTCAGCTGCACTTAGGCCTCAAGTACTCATCTCTGTGCTCTAAAGGGAAAGGGGGCAAGCTTGGGAAGAGGGAAGGGGTCACTGGGAGCTTTGTCTGGACCCATACAACAGGTGCGGCAGCAAAGCAGATGCTAGTTGCTAATGGCCGGTCTAGAAGTGAGCAATGCTGCTCTCTACTCCCGTTCTGGTGGGCATCTGTTTAAAGTTACAAGCCTGGACCAGTTCGATTTTCGACTGCCAACTAGGAGGATACGTGTGATCTGCTCAAGGCTGAACAAACGCGGACAGGAGGACAATCCAAGTAGCCATTACTCACACGGATGTTACTGGCCATAACTTGGCGTCCAGCAGCTCAGTGGTGGGAGCAGTAAGTGGGGATCAATGACACAGTCTGGGAGACTGACTGAGCTTCAGGGCCGGCCCTGATGGGGACAGTTAGCACGACATCAGAGATGAGGGAGGCCACATGGTATTGTGCAGAGAGACTTGCTCTGTGACGCTGTCCGAGGTGGGCAGTGCCCCCAGCCAGGGTGTGGCAGCAGGAGCCTCTGGTGGTGCTATGGAAGTGGGGCTGGAAGGGCAGAGGGGAGTTTCTGGGAAGCCTATTCGGTCTGCAGTATGGCCTCAGCCAGTGCCTGGGAGAGCACGGAAAGGGTACAGATGCCAAAAGAAAATCCTCACAAAATCAGAGAAGGGTCAGGGCTTGTGGCTAAAACACTGGCTCCAGACCCCGTAGACTGAAGGGAGTGAGGCTGCCCACACAGAACACGGTCAGTTCATGCCTCCTGCAGAGAGAAGCCGGGAAGGCAGGGAGAGCCCCACTTTCCAGATCTTCTATCAGCAAACAAACCTGCAGAGGCAGGCCTGCCACATTCCAGCGTCAAAGCCCCTTCCTGGCCTATTTGAATCTGTTAAAACACAGAGATCTTTCCTGTTCTCAGAAGTTCACGTCCCTCCAGCATTTGTGCCGCTGCCTTTGCCAGGCTAAGTTCACACCAACACTCGCCTCATGTCATCATCAGGGTCTATTAGGCATAAATCAGGTTGGCATTCAAAACACCTCCTGTGACATGAATAGGGGACTTCAGGACCAGAAAAGAAAGAGCAGAGAAATGAAGGTTAAATTTAATAACATCTTAGCACAACATCAGAAACTTTAAAAGCTCTTTAAAACCAGGGAATAGAAAGACATACAAATCATCCCATTGCACACTGAAGCCAATAACGGGGAAACTGTGGATAATACAAATAAAGAACCAATTACCTTTTCGCTCCCAGCCAAATCAACTAGATAAAGCTTCCCACTGAGTTTTTTTTCAGTCTCTACATTCTCTTGTTTAATATTAATCAGGAAGATACTGTGACTTCTAGAGCTGTGTTCATTCATGTCTGAAAAGGAAAACAGTTTACTGCTCTACAAAGAACATATAAATTTAGGTAGCAAGCATCTCAATAAAAAACACAACAAATCATGCCTAATAGCTCCGTTTTTTGTAAGTCCACTCAATTTAAACAATTACCTGAGACCATTTCTCCTGCAAAACAACACCCACTCTAGAAATGAAAGATTCAAAATATTTTCATGTGGCAAAGAAATTAATCTAAAAATCGTGGTCAGTGGTTTAAGAAAACAGAGTCTTGAGCTCTGCCTGAAGCCGCCATCCTCCAACACCCCAATCCAGCCTACCTCTCTCCTTGAAGAGCTCAAGTCTTCCTCCCCTGCCTCATTTTAAGTCCCTCAGCCTTTATCATTCTGATGTATTCCATCTTCTTCATGTGTGTAAGCCTTGCCTTATCAGTGATATCATAAGCTTTCTTAAGGAAGAATTATGACTTTCTTAAGGAAGGATCAAGACATACATTTCTTCTATAACCCATGCTAGGCATATAGAAGGTCTCAAAGATGAAATATGCTTCATTAGGACCAAGTACCAAAAATAAAAACCTTCTTGAACCCTGGTCTTTGCTCACCAGGCAGGCAGAGACCCCAGTGACTGTTTTACTCAACCCCACTAGCAATTATTTCTCAAAACTATCTAACCAGATTATGTGGGAAAAAACCCTAAAAGATTCCACAAAAATGTTAGAACTAGTGAATTTGGCAAAGTTGCAGGATACAAATGCAATACATAAAAATCAGTTGCATTGGGCTTCCCTGGTGGCACAGTGGTTGAGAGTCCACCTGCTGACGCAGGGGACACGGGTTTGTGCCCTGGTCCGGGAAGATCCCACATGCTGCGGAGCGGCTGGGCCCGTGAGCCATGGCCGCTGAGCCTGCGCATCCGGAGCCTGTGCTCCGCAACGAGAGAGGCCACAACAGTGAGAGGCCCATGTACCGCAAAAAAAAAAAAAAAATCAGTTCCATTATATATAATAATGAACAATCCAAAAAGGAAATTAAGAAAACAATTCCATTTAAAATTAGAACAAAAAGAATAAGATACTTAGGAGTAAACTTAACCAAGGAAGTGAGAGGCATACACTGAAAACTATAAAATATTGCTAAAAGAAATTAAAGAATGCACAAATAAATGGAAAGATAATCCTTGTTCTTGGAAAGACTTAATATTATTAAGATGTCCATACTACCAACAGATTCAATGCCATCTCTATCAAAATCACAATGTTTTTTGCAGAAATAGAAAAGTCCATCTTAAAATTCAGATGAATCTCAAAGGTCCCTGAATAGCCAAAACAATCCTTAAAAAGAGTAGAGTTTAAGGTCTCACACTTGCTGATTTCAAAACTTACTACAAAGCTATGGTAATCAAAACAGTGTGGTATTGTCATAAAGGTAGACATATAGACCAATGAAATAGACAGCCTAGAAATAAACCCTCCCATAATATGGTCAAATAATTTTCAACACGAGTGTCAAGAGTGACCATTCAATGGGGAAAGCACAGTCTCTTCACCAAATTGAAAACTGGATATCCACATGCAAAAATGAAGTTGGACTCTTCCTTTAAGTCATATACAAAAGTTAACTCAAAAAGGACCAAAGACCTAAATGTAAAAACTAAAACTATAATACCTTAGAAGAAAACATAGGGGAAAAGGTTCATGACATGAGATTTGGCAATGATTTCTTGGATATGACACCAAAAAAACACAAGCAACAACAGCAACAAAAAAGATAAATTTAACTTCATCAAAATTAAAAACTTTTGGGCTTCCCTGGTGGCACAGTGGTTGAGAGTCCGCCTGCCAATGCAGGGGACACGGGTTCGTGCTCTGGTCCAGGAGGATCCCACATGCCGCGGAGCGGCTGGGCCCGTGAGCCATGGCCGCTGAGCCTGTGCGTCCGGAGCCTGTGCTCCACAAGGGGAGAGGCCACAACAGTGAGAGGCCTGCGTACCACAAAAAAAATAAATTAATTAAAAAAAATAAAAACTTTTGTGTGTGAAAGGACACTATCAACAGTGAAAAGGTAACCCACAGAATAGAAAATATTTGTACATCATATATCAGATAAGGGATTGAGATCCAGAATATATAAAGAACTCCTACAAATAAACAACAGTAAAAAGTCAAACAACCCAATTTAAAAAAAATGGGCCAAGGATTTGAATAGCACTTCTACAAAGAAGATGCACAAACGGCCAATAAGCATATGAAAAAATGCTAAACATCACTAATCCTTAGGGAAATGCAAATCAAAATCTCAATGAGATAGCACTTCACATCCATTAGGATGATGATTAAAAAGAAAAAAAAAAAACCCAGAAAATAAGAAGTGTTGGCAAGGATATGGAGATATTAAAACTCTTGCACACTGTTGGTGGGAATATAAAATGGTGCACCTGCTATGGAAAACAGTATGGCTGTTCCTTAAAAAATTAAAAGGAGAATTACCGTATGATCCAGCAATTCTACTTCTGGGTATTTACCCAAAAGAACTGAAAGCAGGAACTTGAACAGATATTTATAAATACTTCCATGTTCATAGCAACATCACTCACAATAGCCAAAAGGTAGAAGCAACACAATGTCTATCTGTGGATGAATGGAAAACAAAATGTGGTCTATGCATACAATGGAATGCTATTCAGCCTTAAAAAGGAAGGAAATTCTGACACATGCTACATGGATGAATCTTGAGGACATGCTGAGTGAAACATGCACGTCACAAAAGGACTTATTTCATTCCACTTATATGAAGTACCTAGAGTTGTCAAATTCACTGAGACAGGAAGTAGGGTGGTGGTTACCAGGAGTTGGGAGGAGGGAGTATGGAGGGTTATTATTCAATGGATATGAAGTTTCACTTTGGGATAATTAAAAATTCTGGGAAAAAAATTCTGGAAATAGGAAGTGGTGATGGTTGTAAATATTGTGAATGTACTTAATGCCCCTAAATTGTACACTTAAAAGTGGTTAAAATGGTAAATTTTATGTTATGCATAATGTAACGAAATAAAAAAAACAACAACTTACCAGAATGATAAGAAAAATAGTAATGTTCTGGACCAACAGTTCTGAACCAGGGGGCCAAGAAGGACTGTCAGGTATGTCATGAATAATTCATAACTAACAATAACTTAAGAAACAGTGAAAAACTTCTTTACAAATGAGAGATGCTATTAGTATAAGAATATCAGTCTTACATTCTTTCCTATATGCGTATAAGCGGAAGAGAAAGAAGTAGAGCTTAACCTACACTGTATACAGGTCTAGGCTCACCTATGAAACTTGCCATGTATAGGAATATCATCTGATACATTTGTGGGGGTAGGGAAACAGTTGCGAATTACAGTTCTGGATCAAAGGATCATAGCACCAGTCAACCAAGCAAAGCTTGAATCTCTTCTACACAATGCGGGTAACTCACTACCTCTCCAGGTAGGCTTTCCTTGGGGCAGCATTAAGGACTAGAGTTCTTCTTGTGATAGGTTAAAATCTGCCTCCATGTAGCTTCAACAATTCTGGGTGGTCTACTCATTCAGATCAAACAAAGCAAGCTGACTCTCTTTCTTAATGTCAGCACCTTGAAGATATTATGAAGAATATGTTAAGAAACACTGCATTGCCCATATGCCCTCCCCAGATATTTTTCTCTCTTCAAAGCTAGAAATCCTTCAGGGACTTCCCTGGTGGTCCAGTGGCTAAGACTCCGTGCTCCCATTGCAGGGGGCCTGGGTTCGATCCCTGGTCTGGGAACTAGATCCTGCGTGCCGCAACTGAGAGCCTGCATGCCGCAACTAAAAGATCTCACCTGCCACAACTAAGACCCGGCCACAGCCAAATAAATAAATATTTTTTAAAAAAAGTTAGAAATCCTTCATTCTTTCAAGTCCTCTTCACATGAACTCACTCTCATCTGTGCACATCTCATCTGAATAAGACAGACAGCCCCCATCTTTTCATGGAAACTCTGCTGCTCTAACCACCACCTGACCTGCTTCCCTGAGACAGGCCGAGGAAGGCATCGCAAGGTAAACCAGCTGACCTGACTATGTTTGTTACCAACAAGGCATCACAAAGTTTACAGTCAAGCTCCCGTTCCTCCATGTCTTTCTTTTCCTTGTTTACAAAGGGCAGAAGTCTAACGTGGTTTCTTTCCATGCGTATGACTGGCCTATAGAATCTGTTGGTTTGGATTTTTTTAAACAATAACATAGTTAAAATAAATGAACTTAGAAGCTTACTTTCTTCCCCCTTTAGTTGGTTGGTTGGTTGTTTACCCCAGTGTTCAGGCTTAGGCTGTTACCAGGGCCCAGTCAGTGAGTGTCACCCGGCATCTCCAACAGGGCCCTGGACAGCAGGAGGCGCTGTTTCCCAGGACCTGCCCAGGCCTGCTGGTATTGCTTACACCCCTGTGTTCTGAGTGCCTGTCACTGCTTTACAACCGCCTTCCCCTGCATTATTCCACTTGGACCTCATTACCCCCACCCAACCTGGTTGGTAGGCAGACATTTGTGTCCTAAGTTAGAGGGGAGGGAACACCACCCCAGGCTTACTCGTTACAGCCACGTGGCGGTTTGCTTTGCCTTCATCTATCACGTCCATGACCTCCTCGGGGCTTGACACAAACCGCTCGGTGCACCCCTGCAAGACAGCCAGATCAGGTTGGTCATGGAAAAACTGAAAAGCAACATGACTTTGAAACAGCTAAACATTTCCCCACTTCTCTTCTAGAGCTGCCAATCCAGAGAAAGGCTGCACTGTCGACCCAACAACTTTTCCTCCTCACCTAGGGCTTGCAGTGTACGTTAAAAAGAAGTCTGGGGTTTCCCTGGTGGCGCAGTGTTTGAGAGTCTGCCTGCCGATGCAGGGGACATGCGTTCGTGCCCCGGTCCGGGAGGATCCCACATGCCGCGGAGCGGCTGGACCCGTGAGCCTGCGCGTCCGGAGCATGTGCTCCGCAACGGGAGAGGCCACCACAGTGAGAGGCCCGCGTACCGCAAAAAAAAAAAAAAAAAGGCCGAGCAAACGCTAGGAAACCCAGAAGTAAACCACAAAATAAATGCCAGATTTTAGGTACATATCCAGACTCATCAGCAGTGGAGACAGAAAATAAAGAAGGAAACCAATGGCGGAAAAAGAAATGGATGAAATCTTGCTTTGCCTTTCAGTCTAGCCACCAACTTTAATTAGATACTGAAGTTGTAGACATAATGCTATGACAGGTTTCTCCTAAGTGCAAAGTATGAACAACTGTACTCAATACCAAAGCCTCTTTAAAAGTGAATAATGTTCAGTTCTCCAGTTCTTACCTCATGTGATTTGACATCTGTGATACACTTACATAGAAACAACTGAAGAAATTAAAAGTCAGATTTTTTAACCAGATGAATATTAAATATAAGGAACATGATTAAATATCTATATGCAGTTTATAAGGTAATATTCTGGGCATCTTATGTAATAATTATGACAGTGACTGGAGGGAAATCAACTGCATCATCAATCAAGTTTTCCTCATACCTTTACGTACGGGACTCTGTTTTTATCTTCATGAACAGCCAAGTTTGTCTTGGATACTACAGAGATGATAATGATGACATGCAAAGAAGAAAACAAAAGTTAAAGACCCTGTATTGGAGAAAAAAATAGAAATTGTTACAGAAGATACGTAAATCTAATCACTTTGCAATGACTCAAGTTAAAGCTTTGGCTGAGAATAAGCAGATAGCCTGAAGGCGATAGAACATCTCTATAAATTCCTTAAGCAGAAGTGCTGTACATCATGCCAACCTTTCTGGACTTCAGTTACAGAACAAATAAAAGACAAGAATTCGGGTTACTCACCATCGAGTAAGTCCCTGATTTTGTCCAGGTAGATTTCAAAATAGGAAACCTGATTAAAAACAAATTGATTTTGAAACAGAAATGCCACCCTGTATTTCAAAAACATCATTATCAGAACTCGTAAAAGCTTTTTGTAATGCCACGAAGAGTGAGAAGAGCTCTACAAAGTGCAGATTCAGAGTCTAGAGGGCGGAGCCCCAGCCCACACCCCTGGCCTCCTGCTTCCTGCTTGTCAGCTGCTCAATGGGCCACTCTCCATCCCCACATCAGAGTTGCCTTCACTTCCAGCCAGGTGTTATTTACATCCTGTGCTAGACAGCCTTATAGGAGGACTCTACCTTTTCACCTTAGATGAGCACCAAGCAAACTTCTAGGTATGACAACAGCTAGAACAGAACATGTCCTTTGCAAGTAACTGTCAAAAATCAGTAGACCTGGGCTTCCCTGGTGGCGCAGTGGTTGAGAGTCCACCTGCCGATGCAGGGGACACGGGTTCGTGCCCCGGTCCAGGAAGATCCCACATGCCGCGGAGCAGCTAGGCCCGTGAGCCATGGCCACTGAGCCTACGCGTCCGGAGCCTGTGCTCCGCAACGGGAGAGGCCACAACAGTGAGAAGCCCGCATACCGCAAAAAAAAAAAATCAGTAGACCTCACCTCAGGCATGACATTAACAGCCGCTTCAGACCAGGGAGGAAGCATGTTCCAAACATTCACATGAAGAAGGTGGGGAGGGGGATAAGGGCAGTTTGCTTGGAACTACAGAACAGTAACAGGGAGAGAGCTGGTGATAGTGGCCAGCTTTGGGGAGCCCAGGAAGGATCTGAACAAAATGCAATTTAATGAAACACAACTAGACTGTGAGAGGGAAAGGATGCCTTCCAATTAGTTATTCTCAAACTTCAGTCCCAGCACTGCCTATATCAGCATCTCCCATAGCGTCTGTGTAAATTGCTCTGAACCCTACTGCAATCCTCCTGAATCAGAATCTCCAAGAACAGGATTTAGGAATCCACTCCTAAACTCCCCAGGTGATTCTTAGGCTAATTTTGATATCTCAGGCTGATATCTGAGAACAACTTTAACTGGATACGTGATCTTGGAGATTTAATTCACAAGTAACCAAGACCCTAGACCTCAATGTTCCCATCTGTCAAATGAAGCCATTCGACGTGATGATATCAAAAATTCCCTCTAGGATTCTGTACTGTCTACACTTGCCTTCTGCAAACCTGATCAACTGTCCTCTCCCTCAAGTTCACGGGTTTTTTTTTTTTGAAATCTAAACAGAGGATTGAGCCAAAAAGGTGTTTTAAAAGTTGAAAAGTAGTTGTAAAGTTGGGATGTAACTCTACACGTGAAATCTCACCCCTATATCCCAGCTCTAGACCAGTCCTGCCTCGAGGCAGGGGAAAGTGAAAACTCCCTAACCCAGCACTAGTCCCAACCCAGCTCAGCCCTGGTTCATTATCTTTTGTCCATGTCTCAGCCTGGAACCTCCTGATGCCTCGTTTCTCTGAGACCTGGGGTCCTGGCTTCAAACCCTGGAATCTGTAGCCGAGCATCCTCTCCCTAACAACCTCTGACTGCTTGAATGTCTGTCAAACAGCCCTGTCACTGACCCTCTCTGTCACAGATACAACTACCTGACCTTTGAAAGACCTACTGCTCTGGAAACCTCTCCCTGTGGCTGGAATCCTAGGGTCTGCTTGGCCTCTAACCTTAGACATTTCTAACCCAGCCCTTCTGCAGCCCACTCAACCCTGGTTCCAACCCATTCTATGTATTTCAGAATTGTCTGGTCTTCATTAAGCCTTTTCTGTTATCTTTGAGATCTTAAGCTTGTGCCCTTATTTCCATAGGTTACAGAGAAAATTAATGACATCCAAAGACTGGTTGTGAACTAGATATTAGGAAATCTGGCAATTAGAATCTTGTTCATTTAATATAAGTAGAAAGAGAATCCTGATTTATTAGTTTCTTTTTACCATAGCAGATAGTGGCTGCTTTGGGGTGGGGGGTTGAATTTTTTTATTTTTGTCACCTCAAGTACTTTGTAAAACCAGATGGAAGAAAAATAAATAATCATTGTTTGGCACTAGGAGAAAGCATGTTCAGAAATAATGTTTAAAACCTCTGTGAGAACGGTCAGAATGGCCATCATCAAAAAATCTACAAACAATAAATGCTGGAGAGGGTGTGGAGAAAAGGGAACCCTCTTGCACTGTTGGTGGGAATGTAAATTGATACAGCCACTATAGAGAACAGTATGGAGGTTCCTTAAAAAACTAAAAATAGAGCCACCATATGACCCAGCAATCCCACTCCCGGGGCATATACCCTGAGAATACCATAGTTCAAAGAGTTATGTACCACAGTGTTCATTGCAGCACTATTTACAATAGCCAGGACATGGAAGCAACCTAAGTGTCCATTGACAGATGAATGGATAAAGAAGATGTGGCACATGTATACAATGGAATATTACTCAGCCATAAAAAGAAACGAAATTGAGTTATTTGTAGTGAGGCGGATGGACCTAGAGACTGTCATACAGACTGAAGTAAGTCAGAAAGAGAAAAACAAATACTGTATGACAACACATGTATATGGAACCTTAAAAAAAAATGGTTATGAAGAACCTAGGGGCAGGACAGGAATAAAGACGCAGACATAGAGAATGGACCTGAGAACACGGCGGGGCGGTGGGGGAAGGGGGGCGGCGCGGGGGGAAGGGTAAGCTGGGACGAAGTGAGAGAGTGGCATGGACATATAGACACTACCAAACGTAAAATAGATAGCTAGTGGGAAGCAGCTGCATAGCACAAGGAGATAGAGGGGTGGGATAGGGAGGGTGGGAGGGAGACTCAAGAAGGAGGGGATATGGGAATATATGTATGTATATGGCTGATTCACTTTGTTATACAGCAGAAACTAACACAACATTGTAAAGCAATTAAACTCCAATAAAGATGTAAAATAAATAAATAAATAAAACCTCTGTGAGACTCACTTTAAGGAACAGATTTTCAATATTGCCTTAATCAAGCCTCTTTTTCTTGATTAAGCCTGTCACTACTCAGTTCAAAATAAGAAGCAGTCAATAACGAACCTGCTCATTTACAATTATTATTTGTGAAATAAGACAGCCTAACTACAAATGCAGGACAGGAAGCTGGACTGTAAAATTCAGCCCTAGACGTGAGTGTTCTTCCTCCTCTCCTTCCCCTTCATGCTGGGGCTATTTTTATCTTAATAAGATTCTAATATGAGACCTTATTTTGAGGGCAATAATTGGTTTAACATCTTACTCCAGGATTATCCCATAAGAGCCCTATAGTGGTTTAAGGTATTTAAATGCAAACAGCCTTAAAGATGCACTAAGCTCCCAAATCTTGATCCCATCAAAGCAACAAGTGTCCGTACCCTCAGATATAAAAAACTCTAGCAAGGAGGAGAAGCTGGCTTCAGCCAACAAAAGGAGCTGTAAAGAAAAAGATTTGCTGGATGTACTTTATAATTGGGCAAACAGTTTCTGACTTGTTTAAATATAATTTGGGGAAGGTACACAGCAGAAATAAGTAAAGGTGGAAATTTAATATAATGGAATAGGTACTGCATGTGGGGTTGGTCAGATCAAGAATCTAAATCTCAACTCTGGGGCTTCCCTGGTGGCGCAGTGGTTAAGAATCCGCCTGCCAATGCAGGGGACACGGGTTCGAGCCCTGGTCCGGGAAGATCCCACATGCCACAGAGCAACTCAGCCCACGTGCCACAACTACTGAGCCTGCGCTCTAGAGCCCGCGAGCCACAACTACTGAAGCCCGTGCGCTTAGAGCCCGTGCTCTGCAACAAGAGAAGCCACTGCAGTGAGAAGCCCTCGCACCCCAACGAAGAGTAGCCCCCGCTCACCACAACTAGAGACAGCCCGCGCGTAGCAACGAAGACCCAACGCAGCCAAAAATAAATAAATTAATTAAATTAATTAAATCAATAAATCTCAACTCTGCCGACGATTTGATATGTCACTCTGGCCATCTGGCTCTATATCCATGAACTTCAGTTTCTCACCTCTAAAATGATGGGCCTAGGCACCTGGGTCCCAGCCTTCAAGGATGATCAGCCTCTTGGTTGATCTGCTCACCTCCAAGTCTGCTAACTGCCCCTTTCTCCTCCACCTCCTTGTCAACCCCGTCCCCAGTCACTGTGGCGGGGACCCTACCAGCCACGTGCATCCTGGACACAGCTGATCGGAGCTGGGGGCAGGGGGTACCTACTGGAGGCTGGGCCAGTGGGCCCCTCCCCAGGGGAATGATGAATTGGAAATAAGGGAATGTAGAGCAGGAGCTGCCATGCACCCTCTTTCCCATACACAGAAAAGAGAAAGATGGTCTGGAACAAGGGAAAGAAATTAAGCAAGAGGGTGGGGATTAAAGAAATTAAGAAACGTGGGGACTGTGGTGGAGATGGAGTTACTTTTGGGGGTAATGAAAATGTTCTGGAAGTAAATAGTGATCATGGTCGTACAATTTTGAAGATATCCTAAAAACCATCAAACTGTACACTTTAAAAAGGTTAAATTTATGGTATGTGAACTATATCGCAATTTTTTTAAGTTAAAAAAAAAACAGGAAAAGCAGAGCCTGGATTTCTTACTTCTCCACAACTCCCCGCCCCCATGCCTGCTGTCAGATTCTGTATCTTATAACAACTTCCTCTATTTGCTTAAACAAGTAGCTTTCAGTCACTTGCAAACAAAGGCGTTCCAATGAATATACCCCTTCTACCAAATGTTATGAATTCACAACTATAGTTGAGAGTAGAAATCTCTCTTTCAATTCACATTTAAGCCAGAACATAGGTTTGAAAAACAAAAACGAAAACAAGGAGGAAAAGAATTCCCTTTCCTAACATTTCTCAGAAAGCGCTCCTCAAGATACTAGTCTGTCATCCTCCAAGGAGGGGTAAAGTATGTCCACAGTCAAATAAGACAGGAAATATAATACAGTACATGTCCACTTTGCAGAACTGCATTACACATTAGCATATTTAAGCTTGGGGTAAGTTTAACATTGTTCAACAAAGCATTTTCCCAGCTAATTTGACCACATACGCCTTTTCCATTGCAGCCCACTGAGTAATAATATGAGGGATTGTATTCCATGGAACACACTTTGGGAAGTGCTGTCCTCACCCAATCATGGACACAGGCCAGTCAGATCTACAGAAATCCACAGGGTAAAGGGTAGAATTCAGACAAATACCAAGATGATTCCATCCTAAAAAGGGCTTTGACTTTATCTCAGTATTTCCTCAGTATTAGCCTGAGTCATTAACTAATAAATATGGTTCTGCTGATCACAGGAATGTCATTTAAATTAGATAAAATCTTCTATGTATACATAAAAGAGGAAAGCAAAGAAACACGATCTGGGACTCAGTTTCTTCTCTTGGGACTCAATAATAGCACTTACCTTGATGTGGAACTCCAGGTTCTCGTCCATGGAATAGATGTGGTCAAAGATGTCGTGTGCGATCCTTGGGATGATGCCCATGAGTTGAGGGTCGTGTAGCTTCCCCTAGTGAGTGAAAAAGACAAACACAGGGAGCTAAAGAGTGCTGGGCGACATGTGAGAGGGAAAGAAGGGACCAAACCTGGGCTTCTTAAACAGGACTCCGTGGAACAGGGAGCACCACGCAGGACTGCCTGCTCCCTCGGAGATCTACCCAACCTGCCAACAGACCGACAGTTAGCGGGGTAACTCAACCGGGCAGGGGAGAGCATGTCCTGCTGGCCTTGAAGGCCCCCAATATCCCCTCGTGCTGTCACGGCGGGCAGCAGATCAGTGTGTGTGTGGGTAGGAAGGAGGGAAAGGGAGAAAGAATGAGGTTACGTGTGTGACTGTAACGTACTAAACGTGGGCTTTGTTTTAGAAATTTTACAAACTGACCAGAACCTACAAATCCAAGTTAATCTGCCTTAATGAAATCACCTTGCGAGCTGATGGATACAGTTTCATTCACATCATCGTTGCTCAAAAATTTCTAAGAAACTTATTCTGGAAATACCTTCAGTAGCACTTGACACACCAATCAAGAAAATCCATTTTATTGATTTCTTTTTAAAATCTGTAATTCCCAGCCCAAACTGTTCCAAATAAGTTTTGACTGTTTCTAATACATAAATCTGCTTATAAAATATTCTCTTATTCTTTCCTGGCCTTTTTCCACTTCTATTCATTTTACCTAAGGTGTGGATGGATAGGTGAATGTTTCTGTTATTTGGACTATCACTAAATCCATTTTCAAGATCCAGAATTTGCCACCTCTGAAGAGTTTCAAAAAGAGACAGCATAGGACCTGAAAGCAATTCCTAAAGAAGAGTTCTAGAAGTGTTTCAAGCAACAGGCTTAGCAAGGACCTCAGTGCACACCTCCCAGAGAGCCTTCTTCATGCCCACACCAAAGGAACACTGAAAAGTTCTATCACGGGTTAAACAACCCGTCGGCAGACAAACACACGTCTAAAGGGATTGCCAGCAACTGTCTTCCCAGAGAATCACACATGCCTTTGAGAAGTTCTAAAACTCTAGGAAGAAACGGAACTGGAAGCAAAGCCAGTCTGCTCTTTAGTTTTCCAGGGATGCTCAACAGCCTTTACAACTTTGACGCATACCTCTTTGTTCAAAATCTGCCCAATACCTGCAGGATCTGCTTTGTCTTCCTCAATTAAGTCCTCTCTTTCTTTCAGAGGTTCACTGCCTGGTGCTTCTCTAACAAGACGACTTCCGAGCCAACATCTGAGTTACCAAAAGCAAGAAGTTGCATGAACCCTGGCACTGACTACAGGCCACAAAGCACTTTCCATTATGAGTCCTCCTTCACGCACCTGATTCCCGACCTTCCACTCTGTTCAAAGCAAGAGAAAAGCCGAATTCAGACACATCTGGCCTCTGGCTCTTACTCGGAAAACAGGTACTCTTCTGGAATGCCCCATCTGCTAAGGACCCTAAATCATTTGATGTGTTTCTACACTCCCTAAAGGCAGGGTGGCCAGTGCATGTGTATTTCCTCCCACTGCTTATGATACTTGGTATAGTATCTACTACATAGAATTACTGTAGAATTTAAATTAAACAGGGCTTCCCTGGTGGCGCAGTGGTTGAGAGTCCGCCTGCCGACACAGGGGACACGGGTTCGTGCCCCGGTCCGGAAGGATCCCACATGCCGCGCAGCGGCTGAGCCCGTGAGCCATGGCCGCTGCGCCTGCGCGTCCGGAGCCTGTGCTCCGCAACGGGAGAGGCCACAACAGTGAGAGGCCCGCGTATTGCAAAACAAATAAAAAAATAAATAAATAATAACTTAAACAGTATATATAATGTACTCAGTGACAATAAATGTTGTTATTCAGCTCATGATACATTCTCTCAAGAAGTTGCTGGGGTTTACCTGAAGAGTCTGAAAACATGTTTCCACCCCAAACCATTAATATATATATCTAATGAAAACAAAACCAAATCACTGGCTTTGTTTTATGATGGCCTTTTGTTTTATGTTTTATGATGGTCTCCTAGACCATCATAAAACATGTAACAAATCAAATATTGGACCCCACCTGCTCTGGACTATAGAATTTGCTGGCAGAAATGGTACCTACAGTGAAAACACAGTCAAATGCGACACCACTGGGCCAATCTGACTCAAGAGGGTCCAAAGAGTGCCCTCCACGCTGCCACCCAGAGCTCTTTAATAATTCATCATAATCCTTTAGCTTCTCTTCAGTGGCCCACAGCCAAAGAAGAATGATCAATAATCCAAAAATCATTTATAACTGACTCAAATCTGTTTCCCTAGATGCTTTCCCTTTCAACGGATTTATCTTCCAATTGATTCTGGGTGCACACAAGTATCGACAACCCTTGTTTGCCTTTGGCAGGGTAAGAATCAAAGCAGAGCCAGGATGAGTCTGGATACTTCCTGTTTTGTTGCCCTGAAGACCCAACAAGGAGCAACAAGACCCAACAAGACAAGGAGCACACGTTCATTTGGAGAACACCTAATAATACCCCCATCCCCACAGTGACAGAGGGATGTCCAAGTCTACCACAGGTTTAGGGGCTGGGATGCTTGCTCTAGCTCATAAACCCAGGAGTGGTGAGGGACTATACTCAGTAAACTGAGGTTGCCCAAACAATCTGTGTGTGTGTGTGTGTGTGTGTGTGTGTGTGTGTGTGTGTGTGTCTGTGTCTGTGTGGTGTTAATGTACATGGTGTGTAGTGTGTGTGTGGTGTTCACATACATAGTGTGGGTGTGTGGTATGTGTGGTGTGTGTTGTGTGATGTGGATGTGTGTCATGTGGGTGTGTGTAGTGCTCACTTCTGTGGTGGTGATGTATGTAGTTTGGGTGTGCTGTGGCTGTGTGTTCATGTAGTGTGTGTATCTGCAGTATATGTGGTGTGTGCAGTGTGTGGGTGTGAGTGGCATGTGGATGTGTGTGCAGGGCTATCGATGTGTGGTCGGTGTGTGGCATGGAGGGGTGTGGGGTATGTGCGTGGTGAGGACGGATGTGTGTGGTGTGTGTATGAGACAGAGAGGTGTTCCAGAAAGGTCTTCACTGCATCTATGTTGACTGCTTTGCAAATGAAATGCACATGTACACATACAATAAACAGTCACCTCAGGCAATAAAAGGTGGTCAGGAGGCAAAGAGCTATAGTAACTCAGAACAGAAAAGTCCCTTCCAGCTGGGGTGATATGGATGGCTTCCTTGAGAGACACCAAATCCTGAGGGATGAGTAAGATTAAGGACGGACAAAGAGGATGTGGGCAGAGGAGAGGAGATGGGAGTAACAGAACAAAGGTAGGAACTGAGAGAACAACGACAAGTTTAGTCGGCTGGAGCATCAGGGATGGACTCGAGGGGAATGTCCCACTCCGTCTTCTCGTTTCTCCCAGAAAGCAAAAAGAAGAGACATTTTAATGCTTGCATCCTGTATAATCCTCTTCAAAAACTTTTCCCACTTCTGAAGGTGGCCTTCTCGGAGCACACGTGAAAGCATAAAGCAGACCCAGGCCACTGGCCACAGAACAAGACTCCCTTTGTTCCAGCCCCAGTGGCCGTCTCAGCCTCCCAAGCAGGACAGTTTCCTGAAACACTTAAGATGGGAGAGCAGGGGGCCTGTCAGCGCAAGAGCACCAACGCACTCAGACAGGCTCATTAAAAATCACTTGGCAACTCCTCGCAGCAGAGCAGCCCACACCCTTCCAGGGCCTCCAGGTGTCCCTTTGGGCAGAAGGAAAAACACTGCGTGTCTCCATCCATCTAAATCCGTGTGCAGAAGAGGGCCACAAAGTGAGGCATGGGGCCGAGAGAAGCCCTTCCCAGCCTCCCGCGCTGAACGAAGGCCCAGCCCTCTCTTCCCCGGGCAGCCGGCACCCAGGGACCTCTCTTCCAACCCTCCCCTGAGCGCTGCCCGCCAGAGCCCAGCCAGGGCCCAGTGCACCAAGGGTCCTATGGAGCTTAGCACCAACACTGCCAAGTATTTCCTCTTTGCACTGAAAATCCGCCTGAAATGCGCCATTTTCGGAAGCTAATCTTTCCAATTTTATGTCGGCTCATCTCAGGAGAAGGTATGGAATCACCACTGGATGTCAGACCCAAAATGGAGGGGATTAAAATGAAAAACAGCTTTTAAATGTGACACTTTCTGTCCATTCAGGGAGTTAACAGCCCCTTGCAAAAGCCTTTAAAGGATCACAATGTGTAATGCTGAATACATAAAATCCTCCTTTCAGATGGTGAGAGCCCTGCAGGGTTTTTTTAAATTTAATTGCATTCCAGGATCTTGGGCTTGCTGGTCTCCTACAGTCTCTGGATTTCAGCTTGGGGTTCCTCCTTTCCTCTGCTTTCCTCTAAAATATCCCCTACCTTTTCTCCAACCTAAAATCACCCAACAGAAAGAGCCAGATGAAGTGTGTGTAGGGGGTGAGAAGGTGCTAGAAAAGGACCCACAGCTACCCCTCTCCTTCTTCCTGTGGGCCTAAGCATGTGATCCTTCAAAGTCACGATAAAGAAAAGCAGCTCATGACTAGCAACCTTTTAAAACTGGCAAGGATGGAAAGGACAGAATTTAGGCAACTGTTAGAGTGGCCCGCACAGAATCCCATTCCCTTTAGGTCCCGTGGCTCCCTCTGGACCCACAGCACTGCTCCAGGAGTTGCGTGGCTGACACCGTGAGTCACAGAGGGCTGGCGATGCCCTCATTTAATAAGACGCCTCCAATTTTAGTGTGAAAGAGCTGGCATACCTCTTTGCCATCTCCTCACACCCACCTACCCCTGCCATACACACAAAACACAAACTAAGGTTTTACTCTGGGGACAGGTCTCTCCTTTGATAGTTTACAGTTTAAATTTCTGACATTTAGCAAACACCTTGTATTTCCCAAAGACGAATTAATCCCAAAGCTTAAAAGGTCACTCGTAGAGGCATTTTTGTAAGATGTGGGGGGATTTTAAATATTGCATTTTTTGTATTGTATGTTGTTTGGTAACTTTCCAAAGAACTAAAGAATGATTCCCTCATGAGAAGCCATCTCTTAATCAATCAATCACTCTCTCTCTCTTTCTCTCTCTCTCTCTCTCTCTCATGCCTTATGAACCATGAAGAAGGTTCTGTCCATGGTTACTGGAGTGGGTGGAACTTAGGAAATGTATGCCACGGAGGCTTTTCTAGCACCTAGAAGGTTAAGGGTCTGGGGCCCAGGAGGAGAGACAGGCGAGGGGCCAGAGCCGGAGAGTGGGGACGGCCGTGCCTGTACCACCATTTCCAAGGAGTACTGCAGTAGGATGTGAGATGCAGAGGAGACGGAAAGGCTCAGGTGTCAGGAAACAGTCCTACTCCGTCTAGAAAAGGTGGCAAATAAACCTCGTGCTTCCTTTAATCCGTACAATCTCTGAACCACTCTGTCTCCAGCAAAATGGGGGGGAAGCGAGTCAACACAACAGGAATGAGATCCCCAGAGGCACACCCCACACTTGAAATCGGTGTGAGCAGAACATCAGAGCCCTGAGGATTTTAGCCTCGAGCCTTTGAAATCTCTTCTTCAATAGCAATGATTCATAAGCTAAACCGATGCTGCAGCAGCGTCTCAGTGACATTCCCAAGAGGGGACAGTAAATGAAAAACATAAGCTTGAAGGATTAAGGATTCATCTTACCCTGCTGCTTGTAAGCTGAATTCCCCAAACTTCCTCTGTGTAGTTTCTTATAATAACTGCTCTTCACCTCTCCTCACCTGTCAGGTGGGCCCAGCCTTTAGAAGAATTATCCAGCCCCAAAGACCACATAGGAGTCCGATCCATGGCAAAAAGCAGGAAAAGAAGAGGTAAAGGGGACCAATTTTGTCTGCAGGCGTGCCTCATCTGGAAGACAGCCTGGAGCCACAGAGCTCCAGGGCTAACAGTTAGAGCTGGTGTCACACCCTCAAGTGCACAGAGAGGCCAGGTGTGCAAGTCTGCGGGGAAGGATGCTGAACACTTGCTCACAATGTGCGTGGAGGGCCCAGCCCCACAAACGTGGGTCAGCCAGGGCCACCATGAGGCTATCATTTTCACAAATACTTTATCGAAGCCTTCCTAGGTGACCACCACGGTCCCACACAATAGCAATGTAAGTAAAAAGGTGAACAAGACATTGAAGAGCACTGCTCCAGTGAAGCTTACGCTTTATATTATGGTGAAATTTCACCCGGAGTTGCTAGATCTTCAGCATTTTCAACCAAAGCTGGACACTTAGAATTATTTGAAACCATCCCATTTTAAACACTGCCTGCAATTAAAAACAAACAAAAAAGAAAACAAAAAACACTGTGCAGGCCAAACAAAAATATGTCTGTGGGCTGCATGTGGTCCACAAGCCAACTTCTCTCAACCTCTGACCTACCATTTTTCATTTATTCAGAAGAGACTCACCTCCCCAGAGGCCCTTCTTAGACTAAATGATTTTCACAGCAGACTTTCTCAGTAAGATTGGGGCGGCAGTCCACAGGGATACTCACACCACTGTTTAGCTTATCGATGATTATTTTAAATAGAATTTATTATTCCTATTTTGACAGAGCTATCAACAAAGGATTTTCTAAAATACTGAACTCCTGAGATTTTATTACTCAACAATATTTTTAAAACTCCTCAAAGACACAAAAAATTGTGACACGAACATAACCATCCCTTAACCATCTACTGCCCAGTCAAAAAGCCGCGTGCACCTCGCATTTTGCTGGAAGCACCACTTCCGTTCAGTCATCTCAGAGACGACATAACAGCACGCTGCAACCTTACCTCCATGGTGTGCGTTTTTCCTGATGATGTCTGTCCATACGCAAAAATTGTCCCATTATAACCCTCAAGGACATCTGTGAGCAAGAAAAAAAATTAACTCATTACTTTGATTGCATGCTAGTGCTGGTTGCCTGTTTTAAAATTGCATTTTCCAAATGGCCCACCTCATTTTTCACACAAATGATGTATTTCAACTCCACGTGCATTTTAAGTAGAATTGTGAGATAAAAGCAGGAACGAGGGCCTCCACTGCTCCACAAAATAAAAAGAAATGGACTCACATGGCTACAGAATATATTAATGAAGAAGGAGGCAGACACACTTTCTCCTGGTAACATCAAAATCGAAACAGGTATCGAGCAGTGTATTTTCTTTTTAGTAGAAAGGTATTTGAGTTTTCTTCTCCACGTTGATCTCTTGAGATCAGTTGAGGTGGGAAAAAAAAACCCAAAACATTATCGTGCCCTGAGTGTCTGGAGTGAGGTGTAGAATAGGATTTCTCTCCTGAAGATCTGATTTGGGTCGGTTTAAACCCTGGCCCCGGCAGGCTCCTTGGGGAGGTGTCTTGAGAAGGCCGTGCTAAGCCCCTTCAGAGCAGAGCTACTCCACAGCTGGGGGGACAGGATCCCACTCTATAAGCTGAGACACACGGTGACAATCCGATCAGCCCGGAAACCAACTGGGCCCTGACTCGAATTTAGGGCCTCTGTTTTTTCAGTGACTGTGCTAGCGAGATGACCCTGGCCCAAGAGCATCGGGAATTTCTTTTAGTTAAACAAGAAGCAGACTGTGTCCCACACTGCAGGCCGCTTCCCTCTCTCTCATCCAGGGACGAGGGGAGGCGTGCGGACAGATGGACTGACCCTGCTATGAGCTGACGATTATCTGTGGGAATTCTTTCAAAGCAGCAAAGGTGATTAAAATATATTTAGTGCTCATTTCCCTCGATCCTACTTCATCCACATAAACATCACTGAAAGCGGAATGATGCATAATTAATATTCCCTGACCCACCATCTCTATATAAAGGGAGGAAGTCCTCATTCCTAAAAGCACGGAGGGGTGGGGACAGGAGCCCCATAAGGGGGTGTCCTCTCCAAGGCCATTTACAGAAAAATCAAGCCAGCCAATCAGCTCCATCTATTTCAGGCCCTGATTAGGTTGGTTGGTTTGCTTTTTTGGTCTCTCTCAATTTTATGATGCTGGTTAGTTTCTGTTGTTTTGTTGGGTCTTTTTTTTTTTTTTTTTTTTGCGGTACGCGGGCCTCTCACTGTTGTGGCCTCTCCCGTTGCAGAGCACAGACTCCGGACGCGCAGGCTCAGCAGCCATGGCTCACGGGCCCAGCCGCTCCGCGGCATGTGGGATCTTCCCGGACCGGGGCACGAACCCGTGTCCCCTGCATCGGCAGACGGACTCTCAACCACTGCGCCACCAGGGAAGCCCCTGTTGGGTCTTTTAAAAAAAATTTTAATGCACATTGTACTGGTCTGAGGTTTTGGAGTGTGAACTGGGATCAGAAAAGAAAGCAGGATTTTCCCTCGGGTAGCTAAAAAAAGAAAAATTAAGTGGCAGTTTTTTTTAATCCTGGCAGCCCTCAAGAGTTTGTGTCAAGCTATATTGAGAGAGAGAAAATTTTCGCACGTATCCAACTTCTGGTAATGGTTTCCCTGGTAACGGGGGAAGCAAAAACGTGAAGACTACAGTGTAAGGGTTGGAGGTTCAGGCTTCAGTTTTCTCAAAAGTGCCAACTTGCCCAGAGAAAAGATTTCTACAGTCTGAAAATGGTGGCCGGAGTGAAGAGTTTCTACACAACCACAAATGTGACAGGCTTTCAGGGACCAAAGAAAGTGGTCTCCACCCTTGGTGGTTGTTTTCAAATTCTACATATCCATGGCACAAACAACTCCAGACAATGAGAATGCCAGCCACAATCCCAGCGCTAAAGCTCCTGTTTATTAGAGACTAAACCTCTCCCCCCCACATTGAAAGGGCTTTCTTTCTTATCTTAAGTCCCCGTGGAGGAAGTAGCCTGGGACGACCCCTTACCTCAGGTGTTGGGGCAGGAAGACGGCAGCCAAGGCCAGGGGTCCAGCTCCCTGGGTTCCTCATCGCAGCCACTGGCCACCCTACTCATTCGCCTGCACCACACAGGCGGCCCTGAACAACTGCCCCACGCTGAAGAAACCTCAGCTCAGAACCCAGCTCTGCAGATGGGAGAAAACCCAGCACTTGCTTCTTCCTCCGCCAGGAAGCAGTGGGACCAAGGCATCTGAATGTTGCCCCGCAGACAACCCCCAGGCTCAGTCCACCCCTCTAAATCCACCCTCGCTAAGAGAATGCACAATCCTCCTAACTCCTAGGGAGTCACCGCTCACCAAACTCCCTCAGGTTAAGGACTGGGGCACACATATGCAAACAAGAGCTCATGGACAGCATCGCTTGCTTGGGGTAGAGAGCTGAGAGGCACACGAGACTCTTACTTGGAGAATCCCTGATTCTTTGCTGCGGCTATTTCAACACTGCAGGCAATTTCTTAGTTTTTTTTTTTTTTTTTTTGAGAAAAAGAGAACACATAAGAGAAGCCCATTAGGACAAACTCCGTGTGGCCTTTTTTTTTAACATCTTTATTGGAGTATAATTGCTTTAGAATGTTGTGTTAGTTTCTGCTGTATAACAAAGTGAATCAGCTATACAAATACATATATCCCCATATCCCCTCCCTCTCGAGTCTCCCTCCCACCCTCCCTATCCCACCCCTCTAGGTGGTCACAAAGCACCGAGCTGATCTCCCTGTGCTATGCCGCTGCTTCCCACTAGCTATCTATTTTATGTTTGTTAGTGTATATATGTCCATGCCACTTTCTCACTTTGTCACAGCTTAACTTCCCCATCCCCCGTGTGGCCTTTAAAGCGTTCAGAATCATGTCACAATTAATTTGTTGTTGGAGAACCCACCTCTGGTGCTCAAGGTTGAACAGGGCTGATGCCGCCCTCTATCAACTGGATTCCGAATCAGAAGGTAATTTTAAAAGAAAACAGGAAACTCTTCAAACCCAGTGTTCTCTACTTTCTTCCAAACTCCAGGTCTGGGGGAGTTTGTTTGTTGTTGAGGCTGTATTTGCTTATGAGAGGAGAGGAGAGGCCGGGAGGGGGGCGCAGCACAAAAGTGCATCTGGGGCTGGACCACTGAGATACAGGGAGATGGACACCCGCCAAGCATAGAGAGATGAGGGAACAGGCCTGTGCTCGGTGCCACTGAGCCACACAACCAACCCGCCTGCCTCTCGCAGAAACAGCCCACAGAAAGGCACTTTCATCACGCTGAGGGACAGGTCCTGGGGCCGAGGAGAGCATTTGTTTCAGAGTCTCCGCCATAACATAATGACTGTTTCTATACACCAGCCACAGAGCCAGGAACCAGCCCAGCTGGACAGAACCTTTCTTTGTGATGGAGTCTGGCGTGATGTGACCTCAGCTCATACCACACAGCCAGCGGCGCCCCACGAGCACAGCACACGTCCATCGAGCGGCCAAGCAAACCCAAAAGAGAGAGTCCACAGCGGGTGGGAAGAGCCCTGGGAGGGAGGAGTGGAACGGGGTCCTTGAAAATACTTGCTGCTTCCCAGTGCAGCCTTTAGACCCAAGCTTTCCATCCTAGGTTTTATTAGTTCTGAGTCCAGGTCTTGCTGAAGCAGAAGAGTTAGTTCCATTATCAGGTAAGAATCTGGGGAAGACATAATCATACCTACGCACCAGGGTGCCTGAGGAGGCTGCTGTGGCCTCCTATCGACTCTCCAGGTGAAACAGTGGCCTGGTCGTGGCACCAGAGCCCCTGGCAATAGTGGCTGCAACTCATCCCTGGCTTGGAATCCTAAGGCTTTTGCCAGCCAACCACACTACTCAGGCAGGCGGTGCCCAGAGAACGCAGAGACCGTTCTGCCGAATGCCAGAGGCCAACCGGGATACTGGCCCCACCAGTCCGAGGGCAGGCACTGTGCCCAGGTGAGGGCGTGCAGCGTCTTCAGAGTGGAAGTGTGTCTCACTATCGGCAGACAGCCAGGGCCACCCTTCAGCTCTGGAACCCAGTCTCCGTTCTCCGTTCTCTCCCCTCTCCCCTTCCCCACCGCCATTCCTACCCCTGTCTTTTTGCAATGTGCTCCATATGGCCTGATGGAAAAGGAACAACTCATAAAATAATTATCAAATGCTCATTATGGGCCCACCAGAAAAGTGGGGGCAGGATAGTAAAATTCAAGTAAGTCAGACGAACTCAGGTTCAAGGCCCAGCCTCGCTTCACTACTCCCTCAATGACCTGGCCAAGTTACTTCACCTCAATTTCCTCTTTAGTACAAAGGGAATAATAATGTTCACACCTCATAAAGTTGCAAAGATTTAAAATGCAATAACATATGTAAAATGCATACAGGGTGCCTGACAGATAACAGCAGCTAAATAAATATAATTCCTCTTAAGAGTCATATATAATAAAATAATAAAATAGATCTGATAATATCCTAAGCTTGTGACTCTTCAATGGGTCCACATCACCTATAAGATAAAGCCCTTCAATTTCTATCAAATTCTGGTCCAGTCTAATTTTTTAGGTCTCATAGCCATGCACCCTGTACCATTCTAAGCTGCCCATATAATTTGGGTCTTTATGCTTTTGCTATTTCTTCTGCTTGTACCACCCGGCATTTTCTATGCTCCTCAGAACCCAACCTTTCCAAGAAGGCTTAATTCTCCAATCCTCCTCTCTACCCACCAAAACCAGTAGTGACTTTCTTCTGTGCTCCCATAGCATTTTGCACACACCCATCCTAAAGCACATAATCCCCACGTGTATGATAATTGTGCACGCGTCTGTCTCTTTCCCTATACTCAAAGATTCTTGCAGTCTTATGTGTCTTGGTGACTCCAGTCCCTAGCAGTACTTACCACATGGCAAATACCTAATATACTTTCATAAAAATATGAATGAAAGAAACAACTAAATGAATGCAATTTAAAGAAATTAGAACTGGAAAACAAGAAACCATCTTCTCTAGCACTGGATGGTCTACATCCAGCTAATTTGGAAGGCAAATGCCAGGGGTGGCTTCTGTAGGCTGGGACGCAGTTATTCTTATTTCAGTAATAGTGTCCGGTAGCCATGGTTTTTAATTCCTAGGGCATCCACAGGAACCTTTCTATTTACCATGCTGGTACTCACAAACCCTATAACCTCTTCTAGAAGAACTGGAAGAGATTCTACAGACTCTTTCAGAAGATGTTTTGAGAAATACACACCAGATAAAAAGGGGAGCGTGGGAGGTGCCAGGATTCTACAATCAAATGTTCTAAATATTTTTTTTTAACTCAGTGAAGTTGAAGAGAATGCAAAGACTGAGAGAGAATAAAGCTGTCCAGTTAAAAGGAGTCTTCCTGATCTCAAAAACATTAAGGGTTTAGATAGACTTGAAAAGAAAGCTCACCAGTCCACTACATTACCATGAATCACAGAGACCGCGATTTAAACTTCCTTTAGAAGTCATTTGATTCAATTCTTGGCCTCTAGAAAAAAAAGACCTCCACTGCACCACCTTCCATACTTGATGTAAATAGGGCTTGTCATGGCCACAGATGCCTCAGCTGTACCTAGTAATCTATTCCAAGCAGTTCTTTCTTATATGCCTACATTTTATCTTGCTGATGCAGAAATACACAGCCACGTCCCCTCACACTAGCCTCAGTGGATATTAAGAAAAGTTAAACTTGGTCTTCATTATGCCCCTAATAATTTTCTTTCAAGGGAGAATAAGATACTCTTTATTGCTACAAAATGAGTATGTTCGTGTTATATGTATGGTGCCCAAGAAATGTCTGTTTACTATATCATGTCAGAGCCTGATTTTATGCTATTATTATTATTTTAATTAATTAACTAATTAATTAATTATTGGCTGCGTTGGGTCTTCGTTGCTGCGCGCGGGCTGTCTCTAGCTGCAGAGTGCGGGGTCCATTCCTCACTGCAGCATGCGGGTCTCTCACTGCGGTGGCCTCTCTTGCTGCAGAGCATGGGCTCCAGGCATGCGGGCTCAGCAGTTGTGGCACACAGGCTCCAGAGCGCAGGCGCAGCAGTTGTGGCACACGGGCCCAGTTGCTCCGCGGCATGTGGGATCCGATCCTCCCGGACCAGGGATCGAACCTGTGTCCCCTGCATTGGCAGGCAGATTCCCAATCACTGCGCCACCAGGGAAGTCCCGATTTTATTCTAAATAGTTTTCTTTGTGGCTCAGTATATATTTGGGCCTCAAGTTATCCATAGTTAGGGTGTCCACAGGAACCCCCCAGGGATTGCCCATTTCTGACATTTCATATATTATAGAGAATTCCAAGCGCTGAAAGGACCCAAACTTATCTAGTAAATAAAGACTCAAAGATTATTATTATTGTTTGTTAATCACAGGATTTTAAAAAACAGAGTGTATCCATCTCTAATTACAATGTCAACTTAGAGAGGGCAGGTATGTGTTTAAATGGCCCTAACGCTTAGCATAGCACGTAGTAAATACTATTTAGATCTGATAATGAAGGAGGAGAGAAAAACAAGGAAATTCTGGCTCATATGTGATTAATCTTACTTTAATAAAAATATGAAAGAGTCTGACAATAGAGGGGAAGGAGGGCTGACTAGAAGCAAACTAGAACTATATATTCCAGAAAGAAAGAGCAAATATGTTTAGAAAGAAAGAGAAGCAAAAGAGTTGAAGTAGAGAGAAGACAAAAATTACCACCAGATACAGGCCCAAACGATTAATTCAAAAAAAGCTCATATTCAGGCATATTTTTTTCTCTTCAATTTTCTATAATAATCTTACTGTGAACACCGTCTAATTTAATTGCTGTCTGCAACAAGAATGTGAACAACCATACACCTCAGCAAGGAACATTACATTCTGATGGGCGTCTCCCACGCAGGTGTCCAGGGTCAGAATTAATCTAACAGATGTACCCAGGGCTGATTTTCACGCATTTCAAGTAGTTAGGTTAGTCAGCTCAGCTTCTAAAAATAAGTGGATCTAATATGACAAGATGTTTGGGGTTTTTTTGTTTGTTTGTTTGTTTTACTTTTCACTCTTTGAATCTAGCACTGCCTATAAAAGTGGCAGCATCAAGACATGTGAAAGCACAACTGCTGCAGCATTCAAATTTGAAGGCAAGGATTTAAGGATGAAAAGCAAAGTATGAAAGGCAAAGATGCCCCTCAGCTCTGTCCAGATGGTGAGCTCCCCAAAGGCAAGCTCCACCCTGCCCCCGATTTAAAAGGGCAAGGTAGAGCAACATGTAAATTGCTTTGTCTCCTTGCTGTTATTTTGACACAGATCCTTCAGGACCAAGGCCAGTCCCAGAGAATAGGATTGATCTCTAAGACACAGATTCAGGCTTCAGGCTACCTATGGGGAAGAACAGATGTCAGGATCTGGGTGGCATGCTTGAAAGTGGGTTAGATGAAAGTATAATTGAGGAATGCTGACTAGCAAGAACAACTCACTAACCAGCAAGGTAATGTGATCTTAGGATGCTGTAGAAAATTCCTTGATGCCCAAGAATTTCCCACATTTAAAGCTTCTTCCTGAAGACTATACTTTCAGGGATCATTTCTATTGACACATACATACTACTATATATAAATAGATAACTGTATAGCACAGAGAACTCTACTCAGTACTCTGTAATAGCCTATATGGGAAAAGAAGCTAAAAAAGAGTAGATATAGGTATATGTATAACAGATTCACTTTGCTGTACACCTGAAACTAATACAACATTGTAAATCGATTATACCCCAATAAAAAAAATTAAAATTAAAAAGAAAAAAAAGCTTCTTTCTGAAGAGACAGATGCACAAAATAAATCAACCAAAAATACACAACTGGAGTCTCAGAATAGATGTTTTTCTCCTGAGGAGGTACTATACCTTCAGCAGTATTTTAGAACCATTACAGAAATAGCGTGACTATAGCTTACCTTGCTTTTAAACTTCTGGGTGACAGAATAACTCTGCCCAAAAGGTGGCAAAAGAAATAAAGAAATCTCCTTGGAAAGGAGGTATTGAGGAGTTAAATAACTTGCCTGACATCACAGCAAATCAGGGCCAGAACTCACTATAATTCAGTGTTTCCAATTAGCAGGCCCCTGCTTATGGTCAAAGGGTATTGATTCCTAGGCTGCGAATACCACTTACTGTCTTCCATTACTCTGAAGCGCCCCGAGGAAATGAAGAGTTAGCACTTACCTTTGACAATTTGCTTTGCACACGCGTTGTAAACCTGCTCTTGGGTCGTGGTAGGAGGCAGCACTCTGTCGAAGACATATGGCTTTCCTTGCTAGAAGGAAACGGCAAAGCACATTAGACGCTTAGGAAGAAAAGGCACTAATGGCACTAGTCAGACCATAGGCACTAAGTCACCAAGCCCACTCTTTAAGGCAGTTCCTTACCAAGACTAGGGAAATTTTCTTTCTTTTTTTAAAAAATAAATTTATTTATTTATTTTTATTTTTGGCTGCGTTGGGTCTTCGTTGCTGTGCGCGGGCTAAGCGCGGTGAGCGGGGGCTACTCTTCGTTGCAGTGCGCAGGCTTCTCATTGCGGTGGCTTCTCTTGTTGCGGAGCACGGGCTCTAGGCACGCGGGCTTCAGTAGTTGTGGCACTCGGGCTCAGTAGTTGTGGCGCATGCGCTTAGTTGCTCCGCAGCATGTGGGAGCTTCCCGGACCAGGGCTCGAACCCACGTCCCCTGCATTGGTAGGCGGATTCTTAACCACTGCACCACCAGGGAAGCCCAAGACTAGGGAAATTTTCTAACATGAACGACATGTTTGTGTGTGTGTACTGTATGTTGAGAATATACTGTTTGTGTGTGTGTACTGTATGTTGAGAATCGGAAAGGAGAAAGAAGAAAAACATTTTTTTTTCCTACTTGAAGCACCTTTTCTGATGAAATGTAGGTTGACACGTCATTCACGCATTTAAACAAATATTTAGTCACTGAGAGTTTCTTCTGATCCAGGCACAGACTAGATGCTAACCAAATCAGAAGACAGTCCTGCCTGGAGAACATTCAATCCAGTGTGACAGCTATAATGAACAAGAAAGCAAACACACAGGAAAATGCAACGTGCCTAGGAATAACGTAAAGGGACAGAGGGGATGAGACGAGGCCAAAGACGACCTCCGTGAAGCAGTACCAGTTAAGTGGATCTTTAAAAGATCAGAAAGGTGAAGAACCGCGGAAGAACATTCCAGGCAAAGGGTGGAGCAGACAAGAAGGGGCCTGGAGTGCTCAAGGAACTAGAGGGTGTACAAGAGGAGATGGGAAAGGAAATTAGCCAAGGTAACGCACTTGGATTTTATTCAGTGGGAAGATGCCATGATCTGATTTAAGAAGCTGCTCTTAATAGCCAGATATTATTGCTCTGTGTCCTAGATTACTCTAGTGTTTTCTTCACATGCATAAGTGGTGTCTTAACTGGGTAGAGGCTTTGGAGATAAAGGGGGGCCTCTACATAAATATATTTATAAATATATAAATCAAGTGCTCTCCCCAGGTGTGGGCTCTGGGGATTTGGCCCGACACTGGGCTGCGTGCGATTGGAGGAGGGAACTGCCGGAGGGAAGGGAAGAGGTTCTGCTGAGGTGCTACTGACTCCGGAGGTGCAGAGCCCTGACACTCCACCACTCAGCGTTCAACAAGCAGTTACTGGGCGTCTCCACGCCCGGTGCTGCACACTGGGGAAGCAGGTAAGGAGGACAGACACAGCCTCTTCCCCGGGAGAACCCCCCATCACAGCACCTCTTCCCCACCAATTACCACCCAGGCAAGGGGTGGTCCTCCCCCGGCCCCTTCACCTTCTTTTTCCCCAAGTGCAGAAGGGAGGGCAGGAGAAGAGAAGGGAGGAGAGGAGAGAGCCAAGAGCCTCCTTCACTCCCGCCCTGCACCTCCTACACGTGGCTCTGGACACAGGGAACCACCCAAGGACAAGTCTGACACCTTGAAAAGATAACCGCTCATGGGGGATCCAAGGACAAGGCTTGTCACATCCCATAACCTTCACACAAAAGCAGCACACAGCTGTCAGACCGGCTTAATATTTCACTCCTCTATGTCTATGGTAAAGCCACACGTAGGTGAGGCTACGCGTTAGGGCTGTGCTCTCGAGCTTTAGTCTTTAAAAAAACAAGATTGCGCCAACCAGGTAAACGAGCTACTTCCAGCTTGGTTTTAGAAAAACATGGAGAATTTTCAGGTACGATCAAATTTTGTTTTTATACAAAGCAGCAGAACCATTCGTTCTGTTAAAATTCTGTTCAGGGATTATTTCCTGATGTTTTGTTCCCAGCAAGTCTCATTCAATCAGTGAATCTAGTATTGGGCTGAATAACCATGATTATACTCCTCACTGCAATCTATTGCCAACGATCAGCCCACCATATTCTTAGCAGCTTTATCTATTTGTAAAAGTCAACTAAATGTCAGTAGTGTAAAAGGTTAGAATAAACATTTACAGAGTTTGCCTAAGTATTTGTCGTCCGCTGAACCTTCTGGAAAGAAAATGCAGCTTTGCTTAATTTAAAACAAATCCATCATTTCTCCAAACTTGATGAGAATCACCAAAATAAACCGTCTTGCGTACAGCATGATCCTGCTTTAGGTTTTAGAGAAAATGCACTTGACACAGCAGGGGAAAGGACCTATTAAATTATAGTATATGATACAAAAAATAGGAGTCCCCAATTTTGCCCTTTAATTTAAAATGTTTGTTGGAGTGTGCTGTGCTTTCACTTTAAAAGACGTAGAAAGCAAGAAATCTCTACTCTTCATTTCAATAGTATCACATTTACCAAGTGACAAACGCATAATATAACAATTTTCCATAAGCTGAAGTTAATTCCCAAACAGAAACTGCCCTCAAGAAAAGAGAAAATTTAGAAAATGATTTATGAGACTTATCTTGTCAGGATTAGAACATAAATTAGTTAAAAATGTAAGCATTTTTATGTGTCTTTTCATGCACTGAGGCGGTCATAGGCTTTTATTTTTAAGAACTGACTTGTGGCACAGTGTGCCAGCTGTATATACAACGGCCATTTAAGCAAAAATAACAACAACGAACTCATCACTCTCTGCTGTTTTGGTAAAGAAATGGAAATCTCACAAATCCTGGTCGAGACTGCAGCAAAGGCCCCCAGGAGACAAGAGTCTCCCTGTTTCTGATCCCACTGTGGCTGAGGGTTTCTGTGGGCAGGCAATGGGCCCAGCTTGCTCTAGTTGTCACTACATTTGCAGCTGCAGAATAAATTTTTGGATTTACATCTTAATATGGGTGCTGGGTGCTAACATTCGAAACTGAATGATGAGGTCACCAGTTACTCCTTCTGGAGACACTTTCCTTTCCAGGCACCTATTCAGCACATGGTCCTCTGAGACCTCTCTGGCCACTCTGTCCGTGACCTTTGCTGATGTCTCTTCCAGACTTCTGAGTGACAGTGTGTCCTGGACCCAGACCTCAGCCTCCTCTCTGTAATTCAAATGAACATGTCAGCCTTCAAATCTCACCCAAGCTCCAGATTCATATACTCAATCGCCGGCTAGACATTTCCACTTGGATGTCCATTAGCCATCTCAAACTTGACTGGACAAAACAGAACCATCAAGCCCTCTATGTCTGAGTAAGAACTGCACCACCAATCACCTGGTACTCAGGCCAAAATCATCCATCACGTCCCATAGATCCCAAATCCAAAATATACCCCAAATTCTATCGCTTCTCACCATCTACACCACATAACCCCAGTCCAAGCCACCATCGTTTCTCATCAAGACAACAGCTACAGTCTCCTGACCGGTCTCCCTGCCTCCGTTCTTGCTCCTAACAATCCAATCTTCACTTAGCAGAGTGAGCTTTCTAGAACTGTAAATCAAATGGTATCATCCCTCTTAAAATTCTCCAGTGGCTCCTATTATACTTAGACTAGACCCTCTCCACCCTCAGCTCCCTGCATTCTCCTCCATCTTACTACAGCGTAGCCCACTGGACTTCCTTCAGTACCGTACTTATTCCTCAGCTCAGAGCCTTTGCTCTTAACGCTTCCACCTTCTTGGAATTCTCTCACTGCAGATCTTCACTTGGCTCACCACAGATCTTCATTTGGCTGTCTCTTCATCCCCTGCCGGATGTCAACTCCAACTTCTCCTCCTTTGAGGGCTTCCGTGACGCTAAACTAAAGCAGCCCCACCCCACCCTGACATCACTTTCTATTACATTACCCTATTTGGTTTGCTCCACAGAAATTACTATGTGACCCATTCTCAACGAATCAAATGGACCACTACTATTAAAGCATCTAACCGGCTAAGACAGAAGCCATATAAATGCCAAGACCTAATTGCACGTTATGCAAACCTGCTGCAATTTATGAAAGGAATCTGGATGGGACACACACTCCACGTACATTACAACTGAAAAGAAGGTAACCCAGCTTTGCCATGGAAGTCTCTCGCAGAGCAGTGCTAATTGCATGGGAGCAGTGTAGCTAAATAACTTACCAGGATCACGTACAAAAATATAACAGCAGATGGTTCTTACATTTTTATAGTTAAAATTAAAAAACAAAAAAGTCAAACCACCAGAATTCCTATCAAGTTATTGAGAGCAAAGTGTCTGTGAACTATATGGCCTGTCTGTTAACACATTTGACCTGTTACCCAACAACTGTTCCCCATCCTGGAAGGAATATTACTCTGGGAGACAGAAGAAAGCAAAAGACCCACTTAAAGTTTTAGAAAATGGGCACCAGGAGAGAGGTTAAGGAAACTGAAATTAATTATGCCCAAGAAGAGATAATCAAGAGGTAATCTAATAACAATCTCTGAGCCCAACCAAGGGTTGTGACCAAAGGGGGCCAATGATATAAATGATTTTTCTTCTATCTTTATTAAGAAAGAAACAGGAAAAAAAGACTTAAATTTCCACAACAAGATATAAACTCTCTCTGTGGGATTATCTTCAGACACTGAGTAGAGGAAGTGATTACTGAGAATATCACTAACCTCTCCATCCCAGGTGTTTGCGCGACTTCACTCCTGAAAGTACAGAATATGACAAGTTCTTCCTGTGCTGACCACCTTCTCACTACTGTCCACCAACACCATCACCAGCCACTGTGATCCAAATCCTTTTATATTTTATCTCTTTTAATTCTCACAGTAACTCCATGAGGTAGGTATTATTATCTCCATTTCACAAACTGGAAAACTAAGGCCCGGGCACATCACCAGCTCTATTGCTTTGGGGAAATTACTTTAAGTCTCTAATTTCAAGTG